CCGCTAGTTTCCTCAATGAATTCTGATTTTTCATTAATATAATTCATAACAATAACATTTTTTTTGAACAAATTTCCAACCTTTTACTTACTCACTTTCATTTAATAACACCTCTTCACTTGTTTTCCTCAAGACTAATGCGGGTGTCGTCAATTAATCAATATTAAATTGGCCATTGAATTTTAGATTTTCTCATTGAGTTACTTTTAGAATAGCAGATGTCTCTGATCACACTTGCACCATAACAGTAAGGTATCGTTTGTTTCATAGTTTTATCATCGGCAAACTAATACACTTTTTCAAACTGAATCACATGACAACTGTCATTGTCAATTGTTTTTTGTCTCTCTCTTTGTTTTTCAACCACATGGCTTTTAATAATAAATTGTGTCTACAAAGCGATATAGATTGCCTATCTAACTAGTGTTGGCAAAATGGTATATGTTTGAATGCATCCAAATGCCAAATTCTTCGCTTCCATCGAACACATCATCCAATCACTTCCGAATATAGTATAAATAATCAGACCTTAGATTCTGCTATTGAAACCAAAGATCTAGGTGTGATCCTAGACTCCACACATAGCTATAAATCACACATTTCCGCTGTTATTCAAAAATTTCTGAAGATGCTTGGCTTTATAAAGAGAACCACCTGTGACTTCATCATCATTGCTATAAAATCTCTTTATTTTTCCCTGGTTAGATCTCATCTCGATTATTGTTCCACAGCTTGGTCCCCTCATTACGTTACACAGAAAGTGAATCTTGGTCCCATCATTACGTTGCATAGAAAGTGAATCTCGAGGCCGTACAGCACAATTTTCTGCGATATATTGCCTTCAATATGCGGCATATTATGACTATACTGCGTTGGAACGCATTTTGAAAATACATTCTTCTGAACCTCGCAGAAAACATAGAGATTCAATACTTCTATTAAGAATTATCAACGGACTGAGTATCAGCTCTCCAAAATATATTTACATGTCCCTAGTCGTTCAACGGGATAGGTGCAAATATTTAAGGTTTCTTTTCACAGATTCAATCATTCATAAAATAGCTTTTTCCCCAGAACTCTTCTATTGGCTAACTCTTTAAATAACCTTCAAGCTTTAATATANCTGTTTGTGTTATTCGTGAATATCTAAAATATCCCTCACCTAATTTTATTGTAATTTGGCAATGGTATTGGCAATGGTATAACAGTAAGGAGCTAATTTAGCCCAAACGTGATTCAATTTATTAAGTCCAGTGGCGTCTCGAGCGGGATTTGAACGAATATTTTTGACTTAAAAATGTACGCCACCGACTTTTGTGCAATTTTTATTATTTCTTTGGATTGAGCAATTGAAAATACAACGTTTTTGTCCATTGAATTTTTTTTGTATCTTGCTTAGTTCTTAAGAAAAAATGTCGATCTAATTGCATATCCCTGGACCTCACAAGGAATAATATGGGATATTGAATGCTTCTTTTAGAAATTATTATTTTTAAAATTTCTCATTACTTATTATGTAACAATAACAACAAATATTAAATAACATTAACATCTAGACTAACGAATTGCACTAAATTAAGTGTTGGACATGGCCTCCTTCGGCTTCAATACAACCGTCTTGCCGCCTCAAGCCAACAGAATTAGGTGAAGGATATTTAAAATATTTACGAATAACTTTTTTTTATTTTTATTTAAACACACTCTATTTCGAGAACGAAGGATTTGCGGACCCATGTTTATATGAACATTTCGTCTTAAAATCACCTAAAGAATTTATCTGTTGAATTAACACTCTGTATATTAAATGCCCACAAAAACATATTTTCTCATGCCTTTCCCTGGAGAAATCATTCAGTACTTTGTTTCAAGTTGTTTCTAGGGCAGAAAGGTGTGTGAAATGGGAGTATTTTTTATAGTTTCGTGTTAGAGTTATCTATTTTTACTTGCACTCTACCGTTCTTATCAACTTCATTAGTTGACTTTGTAGAAACCTTTTGACTATCTGTCGTAATGTAAGTCTAGTGGCGTCAATCGAAAAAAAAAAGTATTTGGCAAATATACCGTTCAGGAAACAACGGCCATAAAAACGGGAGTGAGAGTGAAAAATTATTATTTTTTCAAAGTGACTATTTATACATGTAGAATTGATAATTTCCTAACTTGTGCATTGTGTTTGAAAATTTGTGCAACAAGGGTAATTCATTTTACCTTACCCATATATAAGAGTGGTGATTCAATTTGTCATGAACCTTAGTTATTATATTGTTTTTTCATAAAATAGTGACTTTTGTTACTATCCCCTGAATTTCGAGTTGTGCCAAATACGGAAAGAGAAAACAAAATTTTCCGTTTTTCTCAATCAAACTTTACTATTCGACCTCAGTATAGTCATACAATATGTAATATTTCATTTTGCTAGAAGGAATGTCGATGAAAATTAATAAAACTGGGGACAAATCTTCAAATACTGAGTAGGAACGCTACACTTATGAATGAGATTAAATATCAAGGTCTGACGAATTCGACAATAAAAGGTATTATTTTCAGTACCTTAGTTTGATATGAAAAATTATGTGACGTTACTTTTTCCAGAGAAGGAACTATCACATTGCAACCGAACTGGACACAACTAGATTGGAATTTGGCATATCTGTGCTTCATGCATGGATACGGTTTTTCGAATGTCTACTACACCTTGCATATAAACTACCATTGAAGATATGGCAAGCTCGTGGAGAGAAAAACAAGCAAATTGTAGCGACTACAAAAAAGATATCCAAAATCAGTTCCGACATGAGTTAGGTCTATTGGTAGATAAACCAAAGCCCGGTTTTGGAAGTACCAATGACGGAAATACTACAAGATGCTTTTTCAATAATCCAGATATATCAACAAAAATAACTGGTGTTAACATTGATATCATAATTCTACAAACCATATCAAGTGGATATGAAATAAATGTGGAGAGCTATCAAATGTATGCTCTAGAAACGGCAAAACAGTTTATTGAAGAGTATCCATGGTACCCGATGCCACCAAGTATACATAAAGTCTTAATACACGGCTCCAGTATTATAGAACATGCTATACTTCCAATAGGCCAACTGAGCGATGAAGCCCAAGAAGCCCGCAACAAAGATTTCAAGAGGTATCACGAGTATTATTCTCGCAAGATATCACGTACTGCAACGAACGAAGATGTCCTTNTTTGTCTCTCTCTTTGTTTTTCAACCACATGGCTTTTAATAATAAATTGTGTCTACAAAACGATATAGATTGCCTATCTAACTGGTGTTCGCAAAATATTATATGTTTGAATGCATCCAAATGCCAAATTCTTTCATCGAACACATCATCCAATCACTTCCGAATATAGTATAAATAATCGGACCTTACATTCTGCTATTGAAATCAAAGATCTAGGTGTGATCCTAGACTCCACCCATAGCTATAAATCACACATTTCCGCTGTAATTCAAAAATCTATGAAGATGCTTGACTTTATAAAGAGAACCACCTGTGACTTCATCCACATCATTGCTATTAAATCTCCTCATTTTTCCCTGGTTAGATCTCATCTCGATTATTGTTCCACAGCTTGGTCCCCCTCATTACGTTACACAGAAAGTGAATCTTGGTCCCCTCATTACGTTACACAGAAAGTGAATCTCGAGGCCATACAGCACAATTTTCTGCGATATACTGCCTTCAATATGCGACATATTATGACTATACTGCGTTGGAACGCATTTTGAAAATACATTCTTCTGAACCTCGCAGAAAACATAGAGATTCAATACTTCTATTAAGAATTATCAACGGACTGAGTATCAGCTCTCCAAAATATATTTACATGTCCCTAGTCGTTCAACGGGATAGGTGCAAATATTTAAGGTTTCTTTTCACAGATTCAATCATTCATAAAATAGCTTTTTCCCCAGAACTCTTCTATTGGCTAACTCTTTAAATAACCTTCAAGCTTTAATATATCAGTTTTCCGCTTTAAAAACCATATTCTTCCCCTAGCCATCTCTGCTTGTGTTGTTGTATTGTGTCTAGTGCTACTTGTCTGTGAGAATTATATCAGTTCATATTGTTATCCTCATAATTTTTCTCAAATAATCTACTTATTATCTTACTTTGAAATTGTGTTATGCTTATAATGTACTTTTGATCCACTGTATTGCATCAAGTACTACAAAGCAATGTACTACTTATATCTGAATTTTCTTTCCCGTGCATATACATAAATAAAAAACGATTTACATATGTTTTCGAATGAATATTAGATAGATATCTAATATGATATACAGGCTTTTCATCTTTACTGATAATTTTGGAATGAAATTTCTTGAGAGGTTTCTGATTGTCATTTTGGCTCACAAGCAGCAAGTTGATTGTTCTTGATTTTTAAGTACTGTAATCAATTTCATCAAAAGTTTCCGGTTATAAAGTAAAAAAGGTGTTCAAGACAAAGTAAATCAACTCATTTTGGACCTACCCATCTAAGAATTCTCAATCTCTGGCCGAAGTCAGCATTATGAGAAATGTTTTGGATAACTCAAATTTCATTACGACAAGTAATATGGTTTTTTGAAGGTCAGTATCGCTAAGAAACCAAAGTTATTTCATCTCTTCGTTAGTTTGTTATTTATCTTATTTCCACCACCCTTTCAGTAGAGAAAACTGTAAGCTGTCGTTATATCTGGACGCGTTGTTCTTGTACCCCATGGTACTTGGAATGCCCCAATCTTAGTCTGGAAAGATTCAGATTGACAGTTTCACTTTTGCTTCAGCTTAAGAGCATGATTAGAACATATGTGGCGCTTTTTGTTCGAAAAGTTTAATAATTATATTATCAATATAATGAGTGTTCGAAATATGTTTTTGCCTGCTATTGCTTGAAATGGATTTTGCTGCAAAAATCGTGAAAAAACCGAAAAAAATCCTCCTTGTGAAGTGATTACGTACATTAAGATTCTATCGTATATTTTTCTTTTTTTTTCAGACCGATGCACTAGACGAAGAACAAGTTAAACGTACGTATATTTACATTCATTTACATTTCATGTTGCATTTTCATACAATTTGAAGAGGTACTCAGGGTGTTTATTAGGTATGTACCATAAATCACACAGACGATTCTTTAGGTAATTTCAAGACGAAATGTTCATTTAAACATGGGTACGCAAATCCTTCGTTCTCAAGATACAGGGTGTTAAAATGAAAATAAAAAAAAAGTTATTCGTGAATATCTAAAATATCCTTCACCTAATTTTGTTGTAATTTGGCAATGGTATTTATAACAGTAAGGAGCTAATTTAGCCCAAACGTGATTCAATTTATTAAGTCCAGTGGCGTCTCGAGCGGGATTTGATTGAGCAATTGAAAATACAACGTTTTTGTCGTATCTTGCTTAGTTCTTAAGAAAAAATGTCGACCTAATTGCATATCCTTGGACCTCACAAGGAATAATATGGGATATTGAATGCTTCTTTTGGAAATTATTATTTTTAAAATTTTTCATTACTTATTATGTAACAATAACAACAAATATTAAATAACATTAACATCTAGACTAACGAATTGCACTAAATTAAGTGTTGGAAATGGCTTCCTTCGGCTTCTAAATTTTCCGTTTTTCTCAATCAAACTTTACTATTCGACCTCAGTATAGTCATACAATATGTAATATTTCATTTTGCTAGAAGGAATGTCGATGAAAATTAATAAAACTGGGGACAAATCTTCAAATACTGAGTAGGAACGCTACACTTATGAATGAGATTAAATATCAAGGTCTGACGAATTCGACAATAAAAGGTATTATTTTCAGTACCTTAGTTTGATATGAAAAATTATGTGACGTTACTTTTTCCAGAGAAGGAACTATCACATTGCAACCGAACTGGACACAACTAGATTGGAATTTGGCATATCTGTGCTTCATGCATGGATACGGTTTTTCGAATGTCTACTACACCTTGCATATAAACTACCGTTGAAGATATGGCAAGCTCGTGGAGAGAAAAACAAGCAAATTGTAGCGACTACAAAAAAGATATCCAAAATCAGTTCCGACATGAGTTAGGTCTATTGGTAGATAAACCAAAGCACGGTTTTGGATGTACCAATGACGCAAATACTACAAGATGCTTTTTCAATAATCTAGATATATCAACAAAAATAACTGGTGTTAACATTGATATCATAATTCTACAAACCATATCAAGTGGATATGAAATAAATGTGGAGAGCTATCAAATGTATGCTCTAGAAACGGCAAAACAGTTTATTGAAGAGTATCCATGGTACCCGATGCCACCAAGTATACATAAAATCTTAATACACGGCTCCAGTATTATAGAACATGCTATACTTCCAATAGGCCAACTGAGCGATGAAGCCCAAGAAGCCCGCAACAAAGATTTCAAGAGGTATCACGAGTATTATTCTCGCAAGATATCACGTACTGCAACGAACGAAGATGTCCTTCACTTGCTCCTCATAATATCTGATCCTTTCATCATCAGCATGAAAAAAATACTCAAGAAGAAAGCAGTATCGCTCGAAAAAGATGTATTGTCTTTAGTGAAGGAACCAGACGTGGGTATCTCACAAGATAGCGACAGCAGCAAATCATTGATGAGTAATAATTTCGACGAATCGCTATGAAAATGAATATTTGTGTGAAATTAATAATTTGACCCTTCACTGACAACATGCAAATAACAAATACCAATCTAGCACCCCTTTCCAATATGACATACTTCCCGAAAAACATGAAAAAACAATAGATTAATTTTTGCCAACAATTCGTATATTTGGCCCCACTGTGCGCCGTTGATGCGATGCTCATGCAACGGTTTGTTTCATCAAAATTCAGCAATTCTGGAACAAACTTCGCTGCCACACGCGTCATGCTCAAAATTTCTCAAAAAACTGCATAACTTGAGCCAGCCGATATGCTGACATCCGCAGCAAGTCCTCTGATAGTGATTCGACCACGACGACGTGCTGGCACGTCTAGAGCGTCACTCACATCTTCTCGACCTTCTGTGGAAAGTTTGTACTATATTTAAACATTTTTCTGACTCAAAGTACAATCACCATATGCCACTATCAACATTTCGAGTGTTTCGAGCACGTACTTCCTTTTCTCACACAAAATTTGATGCGAACAGTTTGATGCATTTTTTTCGATTGCAGAAAATCGTCGAACACGCACGTCGAACACATCTAATACTTCTAATCAACAAAATGAACATCCTGAACAGCTGAAGCTGTGAACATTTATTCGAAATGAGTGTACCAATATTAAAAAACCTAAAAACCTAAATGACATCTACCAGTCATGTACAAAATTATGTAAGTATAGTGCTTATGAGATTGTACATAGGTTTTTCATTAGGTGGGACTTGAAAACTGCACATTTTACATACCTTTTAAAATGACCTACAGAAGAAACCCTGGTTTCTCAATGGTCAATATAACTGATATCATTAATCACTTTGCCGAAACATTATTAAAAATTCTATCAGGTGATTTTTTTAAATCAAAATATACATGAATGGTGGTTCGTGGTAGTTGTATTTACCATAATTTAAACAGGATGAAAAACAGGGGGTAAGAGTTTATTCGGCTATATCTAACACTCAGAAAAGAGCAAATCACAGACACATCATTTTAGCTACTTGAAAGCCAAGTATGTCAGTATGTTGTAGCCGAGTGCAAAGATGGATAATATTTAGTTGCAGAATATTTATGAATACACGAAGTCATTAACAAAATTCAGCTCTTTATATATTGTTTAGGTGGAAAAATGTTATGTTTGCGGAAAAAGTACCTCAGATCATAGGCAATTTTCATGATTATTTCTTTATTCAAAATCGTCCACCGTAATCGTTCAATTTTTTCTTAGTTATTCAAGTTATTATTTTTGATTCTGCTTCCTTAGAATCTGTTAGTGTCGAGAGTTTTATTGTATTCATTGAAATGATTCAACATAAAGTTTTAGTGTTTTAGTTTGGAGAATGCGTCCTCGAAACCCATTTGAAATATTTTTAGACTGTTATAATTTATACTTCCGTTTGGGTTAATTTATGTTACTCTCAGAATTGGCGCCAGATGACCCAGAGAAATGAGATGGAATGTGTCAGAAATAAGAGAACATTTTATTCAAAAGCCGTTTGATCTCTCATTGATTGATTTTTCTGAACTACGAATTCTTATTCACATCGCTAAAATGAATCGATACTTCCACATGATATGAATATGAATCTTCCTCTTAAAATAAAAAACAGTTTTTGTGAGACGTATGGTTTTTGCATTGAAAACATGTATTCATTCACTTCCTGGTAAAAAAACCAAAGTATAATTTTTGGATGATGAAAAAGTAATTCAATCAGATGTCAAAAATATGCACGAATATGTTATTTTTTCTGATAGACTAACGCCTAGGAAAACATAGGACAGTACCTAATAGTTTCACAAGATGCTATATAAGTGGTATATGTTGTTTGCAGGCAATCAAGTTAATTTTTTTGAATACTTGCGACTTTTTGCATGTGAATATAATAAAGCGCCTTCGTTGCGCCACTTTCATTTTCACAGTGATTCAGTGCAGATCGCGTACGCCACTAGCAACAATTGTATTGCGCAAGATCCCCTTTGATGCAGAGAGGATGCGTAAAACGTTCCTGAAGAATATCTAAGCTCAAAGAAATTTATCATAACATTTTGTTTCTTTAAACTTCAACCCTTTAAGGTTCGAAAGTAAGGACCGTTAGGACATATGGTTACATATTTTTCCTCAAACAATATGGCATTAGGAGAAATTCTGCATATGCTTTTACCCGTTGGAATTTTTAATGCATCAATATTTTTTTCAGTTCTAAAAAGAGCGTTCTCCATGTTCGATTCAACCAAGAAGGGCAACATAGAAAAAGAAAAAGTTAGGACCATTCTGACCACATTAGGACATTCATATGACGACTCAGAATTGGATGCACTTTTAGAAGGAGAAGACACCGAATGTGAGTGAGAAATTATATTAATTAAATCAATGAATGCATAGAAATTAGATCGGCCTTCGATGACACTAATAATTGTACATTAAACTGGATTTGAGCACTTGAAATTGGGTTGGCATCTTGTGCCAACAGTTAATTGCTACAAATAACAATGGAATTATAAAAAATTGTAGAAAATGATAACATAATAGGAATCCTCTCTGTTGAAATTGGTTTGCGTGTCTAGAAATAGATAGAAAGTGTAGCGGTGATAGAGTCAGTCATTCCAAAGTCTTCAGAAAACCCTGCAGAATCTTGGACTCATTGCGTTTATATTGCGTTTATCACCCATCTTATTCATGATATCCATTTCAATGATCTTGTGTATGTACTGTTTCGATTTGCAGAGAACTTCTGCTAAACGTAAGTCATATTCCTTTGGACATAATTTGGGTTTTCCCTAAATTGTTTGCCTTTTGTGATCCACTGAATCACATCCGCATAAAGTATAATGAGCTCTCTGTGTTTCTTTGTTACATTGCCTGTAGTTGAGGTCTGTATTATAAAATTCTATTTTGTTCAGGTGTCCTCTCAATGGGTTGTGTCCAGTGAGTAGCTCTGTGATTGTTCTGGGCTGAACCCTGCTTTGTTGGAGCAGTTCCTCAGTTTTCTTCTCGGAACGTACCTCTATAAAAATTGTTGTGTGTTCCCGGGTATGTGTTTCCATTTTCTCATAGACCCACTCTCCAAATACTTCAGTATTCTACAGCTGGTTCGGAGCCTATACTCGTATATGGAATTGATGATCCGTGTCTGACATACTCCTGGCATCCAGTATGTATAATCAATACATTCCTGTCCGCTAGTTTCCTCAATACCGTGAAGAAACGGTATTTCCAGGCTAGTCTCGATGTCACTTTTGGGTTCGTCAGTGCCTGAAATGAGCCTGTCTGTTTGTGTGAAAATATCGATTCGCTCATTTCATTGAAGCCTCCAATTGATATTTCTTGAGCATTGACCACTTCATCCTGTATGACTGCAGCGTGTTCTGAGAATGACGATTTAATCTCCACCTTTCGGAATTCTAGGTTTTAACCAGTCTGCAAGTGTGCCTGTTCCAATAATTGAAAATCGATTCGGGCAGTAATATGCAGGAATCACTTCTGTGAAGAATCCTGCTCTGACACCTGACGGATATAATCCAACTCATAAATAAAGCAACCCAAGCAAAGATAGTATTTTAACGCCTGTTGTGTGTACATATACGGTATTTTAAAATTTTAAAAATGTCAAGTACTGATACGGCTGAAGAGTCTACACTACGCCTGAAAAATGTTTCTATATCTAGCCGCATTTTATTGACAAAAATAAAATAGAAGGTGTGTCACGGTACGCCCGACAAAAGTGATAACTTTACTAATAACCTGATTTGAACTTTTCAATATTAGAATTGTTCAATTTGAGAAAAGCTCAGGTTGGTTGATATGATAATGTAAGAAAAGGTTATTCATCAATGTAATCTTTTATTGTTTATTTTATGTATGAACGAACATATGTTACAGCTAATATAAGCTTGAAACAATAACGAATGAAAAATACTGGTATTTTCCGTTCGTTATTGTTTTGAGCTCATAAAAAAAATATTTTCAACTTTCAGTTCGATGTTGTTTCAAAGCGTGTTTTTTAGTTTTTCAAACTATATTTATTTTTCATTTTTTAGTTTCGTATGCTACAAAAGGGTGTTTTTCAGTCTTTTTGAACTATAATCATTTGGGATTGGGATCAATCAGCCGTATATTGTTCAGAAAAATGGCCATTGATATATTCCGAAAAGGGAGCCTGAAAATCAGCTCCTAAGCCAAAGGCGCGCAAAGGAGGGTTACAAATAAGGCAGCAGGCGCGCGTGTTAATAAAGAAAATGAATTTTTCAAATGAAGTTCTAATGGGAAAAGCACAACCCCCGTATATGATGAAAATCTGAAAATTGATGGTGACATTTTGGGGGTATGACAACGCATTAATAATTGTATTTGAATGTTCAGACCCATTGACGAACACTCTATAATATTAAATGTTCCCATTCATGATAGGAGAGACATGGGCCAACAGGATTTTTCGTACCAGAATCTGTTGAAGAGCAAGCCCATCAGTTCTCCAATTATTAATCATTGCTTTGTGTAGAACATCACGCACTTTTTTAACGATTCTAGAATCAAAAGCTGATACCCTAGAATTTTTTTCTTAATAAGGCATCTTTTTTCTATGTGACTGCTTAGATGGTGACCCATACCAAATAGTGGTTTTCTTTATTCTATTCGTAATCAGCCAAGCAGCTCCTTTATCTCCAATAGAAGCGTCTTTTGATTTTAAGCGATTCCAAACTTTTTCTGTAAGTTCCTGTTCCTTTATTTGTTTACCTGCACAAGATTGTTGGAATTGTGTAAGTATGCAATATTATACAATTTCGTTCCAAGACTGCAATGCTGATAGCCAGGTGACTGCAATTCGAATGAAAGATTATTTATTGATGGGGAAATTGACCAATCCTCTATCAATTTTATTCGAAGGCAATTTAGTAAATCTGTATCGTTTCATAGCCCCCATTTAAATAAAGAAATCGATACGAAACCCTGCTTATATAGTCTCCATCTGTCATACAATGTGCATACTTGAGGAGAAGCAGCAGTTTTCCATCGATAATTTCGATAAAAAAATGGGGGGGGGAATGGGGAAATGATGTTAAATAGCGTCATGAATCTATATTCCCAGTATCTTTTCGCGATCTAATCACACAGGTCTGCGATAAAAACATTGTAGGATATTTAACAAGTGATTTTAATAGCATTTTGTGTACAGATTACGGAGAATAAGAAAAATTCACCTGAAATTTTCTTATTGAATGGGTTTTTAGGTTCGGTATGGGTTCGATGTTTCTGTATTAGATAGCCTATATAAGCGGTAAATTGAGTCTGGATTATGGAGCTTTTATGATGAGTGTATATCTAAAATAAAATACTGTTTTAATCTATACATTTCAATAAAAAACTATTTAGTACAAGATCTGAGCCTCCTAAAACACTCAGCAGAAGTTTTAGAGTCTGAACTTAAAGAAAGACATATGTTAGCCCCCGGCTAACCGTACCGATTCGGAGAAAAGAAATTTGTCCCTTTTTTTACACAAGAGGGTGACCTAGTGTTCTGCAACAATGTACCCGGCGTCATGGAAATGTTCAAGATAACGTATGAACCAGAAAAATGAACACTTTTCATTGATTCATCAAAAAAAAGTTTGAAAGCTGTACTTCTTCACTTCTGTGCCTGTTGGACACTCAGTCCATTTGAAAGAATGCTACGAAAATATTGAATTAGTTCTTAATAAGCTCAGCTACTCTGCTCATTAGTGAACCATTTGTGGAGACTTGAGAGTTATTTCAATGTTACTAGGTCCACAAAGTGGTTACACTAAGTTTCCATGTTTCCTAAGTGAATGGGATAGCCGTGACAGGAAACAACACTATGTCAAGCAGGTGTGGCCAATAAGAAAGGGTCTTATTCCTGGAGCTAAAAATGTTGAAAAACAAAGTTTAATGGATCCTAAAAAATCTTACTACCACCACTACATATAAAATTGGGGCTAATGAAACAGTTTGTGAAAGCATTAGACAAAGAAGGAGATTGTTTCAAGTATCTTTCTGAAAAGTTTCCTGGTCTATCCGATGCTAACCTAAAAGAAGGAGTTTTCGTTGGGCCTGACATAAGAAAACTTTTAAAAGATGAAAGCTTTGTCACTAAAATGGAAATTAAAGAAAAAAACGCCTGGAATTCATTTAAACTTGTTATAACAGGCTTTCTTGGAAACAAAAAGGACCCAAACTACAAAACTTTAGTTGCTGAATTGATACAAAACTACAAAATGTTGAGCTGCAACATGAGTGTCAAAGTTCATTTCCTTCACTCACATCTGGACTACTTTCCCGAAAATCTAGGGGCTGTAAGAGAGAAATAAGGAAAACAGTTCCATCAAGACATGAAAGAAATGGAACGCAGATACCAAGGTCGGTGGAATGTTAACATTATGACAGACTACTGTTGGATGTTAAAAAGGGAAAATTCACAAAAATACAGCCAAAAAAGTACCAAAACAAGCTTTGACGGAAAAATATCACGTTTTTACAAAGACTTATAATCACTTCGCAAACATTTGTGTATCACTATTATGCTCAGTTCAGCTATGTAGCATTATTTTTTTTGCTTTCACTTCATGTTGAAATAAAAATAAATCCGCAATTCTTCGTTTTTTGTACTTTTTCAACTATTTCATACTTATTTCGTAGGCAAACCTCACGTGATAGGTAAAAACAAATGTCATTTTTGAAATCAGCGCAAAAAACTACATAAAGGTCAGTTAACGAAATCAAAACAATTTTTTAAAAAGTTTTTTTGCAAACCTGTGTTATTTATCAATGAGGAAATTGACCAATTTTCTACAAATTTCATTTGAAGGCAATTTAGTGAATCTGTATCGTTTCATAACCCCCATTTAAATATAAAAATCGATACAGAACCCTGCTTCAACTGTCATACAATGCGCATACTTGAGTTGAAGCAGCAGTTTTCCATCGATAATGTCAATGAAAAATTGGGTGGTAGATCGGGAAATGGTGTTAAATAGCGTAATGGATCTTTATTTTCATTATCCATTCGCAATCTGATTATTGGACCTTCTAACTGAGACATACAAATGTTATGATTTCTCTGTCGACTCATCCTCTAGGATTAGGATTTTCAAATGTTTATCTTCATTAAGAGTTTCTTTAAGTGGAGCAAATATAGCGTTCCTGTGATAATATAGTTATAGGTATGGTTGAATTCTATCACGGATGCTTGGAATACTAACTGACTGAGAGATAGTGATTTCCGTGTAATTCAATGCTGA